AGATCGGATGACGTCCCAGAGCACTTTGGAATTTTGCAAGTAGTGGATCAGGTTGAGAACTATAGTGACTGAGTTGTGGTGAGGTGTCATCTGTTAGACTAAGCTAGTAACGGTTTGGCAGACTCGAACAGCTCTTAGCGAGGACAGGACCTGGGATTTATTGATGCCAGAGATAATCAAGTGAATCAATGATATGGATCATAGAACCACAAGTACTCACTCAGTCCGCACCCATAATAGCGGGTGGGACGGGTTGGTATGTAAACAATTCTCTACACTTTCGAGGTTCTTTCACCAAGTTTACATCTTTTGGCTAGTGCCAAGTGCAGACCGAGTGGATCAGCTTTATTTGTCTGAGGACCAGTGATTCCATTCTGTCGGGGTCCAGTTGCTATGCTAGACTGAAGTTTCTTGAGTTCCTTAGGCACTGGACTTTGTCCTGATTTGTCAGATAGTTCAGTTCATCAGTCGAGTCCGGGCAGTCTATTTTCAATATGCCAATATACTGATGAAAATATGATTCTCATTTCTATTACTGTGACGGGAGATGACACAAGATGAGTAGATTACAGCGCAGAATTTATTTATTTATTTAAATTATTATTCCCCGGCTGGTGAAATTTTGAATATCCTGAACAGATTATAGGGTTTAGTTGGTTGATCTCAGGGTTGATAATCTGGGATATTTTTTTCACGCCAGCGGGTATTTGATTGTTTTGTATACCCCTTCTAAGAGTTAGTACTTGAGGAGAGGAAAATCGAACCGGACTAATGTGTGCAGATTTGAATGGACAGTGTGGATAGCGTCATTGGTCACCGGATTACACGTCGAATCGTGATTGTTGAACTAATCAAAGTAGGTGATAATAACCACTTCTGTTGGTAAAGCAAATGATTCATATTGTGTGAACAGAGTTAGTAATCGTGTGTCTAAATGTCTTCGAAAAGCAGAATACTTATATTTTGCAGACATCCCCTACTGATCAGCCCAAATTTTGAGATTATTTTTTCCTTTTAAAGCAACATTTCATCCTGGCAATCTATGAGGTCTTGTTACCTAACCCTGTCAACCGCACCCCAATAGAAAACTTGTTTACCGAAGAGTTTAGATAATCGCATCGCCCGCTAGAGCAGGGCATATGGTATACATGTCACCAAAACAATTGCCACAGTGCGCGATGTTTTCCCGAAACAGATAGTGAACGCACGCAAGTCAAGCGGAGCGGAATCGAACTAAGACCTGGTATCAAGGTATGAGAACCCAAACCCGTGCTCTCGTTACACCTCTCTTGGATGGAGACCTCGGGATTCGCGTATCCAAATGAACAATCAAAAGGTAGCAACCTAAAACGCCGCCCAAAGTGCTG